CTGTAGCTGTTGAGTTCAGCTGACCATGTGCAGAGGAAAGGGCCTTTGCTGGCCATCCAAACCCAATGCAGGCTTTCTTACCTCCCAGTCAGCCCCTCTGACACCCAATCTAGCTTTGGGCAGACATTTTAGGAATTACCAGAGGACAATTCCAAATTATGTTCTCCTTTTATTTTTGTCTCTAGCAGTGACTCAAAACAGTTTGATTCTTAGCCTTAAATTGGGAAGGAACCAGGTGTAGTGGTGCATGTCTGTAATCCCAGCATTGAAGCAGTTAAGGCAGGAGGACTGTGAAACCAAAACAACAACAAAAACAAACAAAAACCAGGAAGGAGCCCCATTTACCCTCTTGAGCCTTGTGAGGAGCATACACCTACTCAATTTTAGCTGAGACCTTGGAACCTTACCTGGTCCTAGGTTTAATGGTTTTAAGTGCAGAGCTGGGTGATCAACCCAGAATGTGAATTTTCTTTTTGGAAAGTCTATAATGACACTGCCACTCTTTCTTTTTTAATTTTTATGATACAGATAATTGCTGTGTGTATGAGTGTATTGTTGTCATGGTAATAGTAGACTCCTTAAGGAGACTTTTAAAAACCTAAAGCAAAACAGCAAGTTCAACGTGCAATTTCTCTATGCCTGGGACCTTTAAATTGTAAGCAGTAGTTAAAGTACACTCCAGTAAGTAATTAATCCTTGATTAGGCCTGGGTCCCATGTGATCCTGAAAGAACAAATTGCCCATTTTGTCACCATATTTAGAAATTTTAAATAATTTTTCTTGGAATGATTTCCCTTTAGCAGGACAAATAGATGCCATTTATTAACCAAAGGAGCTAGGAGTGAGTGAGTGCCACAGTGGAGTGCTCCCCATTGTGCAGAAGGAAGAACCAATTCAAAGCCTGGGAGACAGGTGTGGTGGCACATGCAAGTAATCCCAGAGGTATCCCAGAAGGAGAGAGAGGAGAAAGGGAGAGATAAAGAGAAAGAAGAAGAAAGAGGGGGAGGAGAAGAAGGATGACAAGCTGGAGCTGGACATGGAGGAGGAGGAGGAGGAGAGAGAAATGAAAAGAAAGGAATAGAAGAGAATAGCCAAGTCTAAGCCAGGTGTGGTGGCACACACATATAATCCCAGCACAAGGGAGGCTGAATCAGGAGGATCATGAGTTTGAGGACACTCTGGGCTACACAGCAAGACCATGTCTCAAAAACTTAAATAAAATTTTTACAAGACTGAGGATAGAGCTCAGTGGTTGAGCACTTGCCTAGCATGTATATGCAAAGCTATGAGTTCCATCCCCAGAACTTCCCTTCTCTAAACACTCATATAGGCACTACTATTCTCTCAGGGATATGTTCATTTGGTAGCTTCTTTACACCAATTCTTGTTCTGTGTGACATAAGATGTGGAGCCAGAGCTGCTATTCCATCCACTTTTGAGTATTAATGGCAAAATTACAACAGATCTAGTTTTGCAAATCTTAACTAGCTTTTATTTGCAACTCTAAAATCAGACAGCACTTAGAATCAAAACAAGTTCAGGGAAATTCTGTGGCTGCAATGTGGTCACACAATATTTGTGGACACAGAAAGAAAAATGAGATAAAGAAAAATGGAAGGGAGCTAAACAAACCTCTCCACCAACTGCAGCTCAAATTTGCTTCATTTGAATGTGGTTTGAATAGGTGGCTGCATGTGACTGATGGAAGGGTCAGCTGCTGTGACTGGTGAGACTCACTATTTGTTACAAAAGTGTATCCATAGTTAGGTTTTCAGTTTGCTTATATACTGAGTTAGGTTGTAGTTAGGTAAGAGTTTTTATGGAGAATTTCTCAGGCCAATTTTAGTTTAAGAAGATGATGTTGGTGCTTCATAACTACAAAGGAACTCCTCTGAGGTGGGAATGCCCAGTGGTGGTGCTTTGGGGAAGTGCTTTTCAAGTCACCCCAGAAATGACTTGACCCTGGAGACATCAGACTGGCTGGGTAGTGGGAGAGTGTGTGTGACTCCTACAGTCCCATACATTTCCAGGACCCAGCTAAAGAGAAGCCCTACTGCTCAGTGGGCTTCTTCCTCTTGCTCCACTCATGTGTGTGCTTCAATGGCTGTGTGACAAAAGCACAATAATGGCATTGTGCCAACTGGCAGGCAAAGAAATTTCAGCCTAAGGATCTTGGAAAATAGCAAAAGAATGTAATGATGAAGGCTCAAGGAGTCATGCTCTTGGAGGAAGGTTGATAAGAAATCCATTTTTTGTTCTTGAACAGTGCAGAGCAAAACTCATCTCCCCTTCATGACTGTCCCTTCATTCGTATATCAACCTGTGTGACTGGCTAGCATCCTTGTGAGAAGGATTTCTTACAGGTGTCTTTGAGAATATGCCAAAGACCAAGAAGACGTGGTCCCTGAACTCTAAGAGGCAGACTTGTGTTTGGAAATAAAACAATCACATAAAGACACTTTAAAATACGGTCCAGGAAACACTTACACAAGTTCAAATTCTAAGGAACAAACTGAAGGGTGAGAAGAAAGAGGTGTGCGTACAGACAGAAGTCAAGTTCATCCATGAAGATATCGGAAGCAGAGTTTTGAGCAGGATCTCGAGGGAAGAGTGGGGATTAACAGAAAAGGCAAATAAAATGCCACACGCATGAGCAGGGATGGACTGACAGCCTGGTGTGCTTGGCTGGTGAGGAGATTGGAAGGCAAGAATACAAAGAGAGAAGGTTGGAAAAGAAAAGATGAGGGTTGAGAGGTAGAGACAGCAGTGAGACAAACAACTGAATGGACTCTGAAGATGAGGAAAAGCATTTTACTTTATGAACTTAAGAAAGGAGTGGATTCCCCAACTCATCCAGCCTCTGTGCTTGCAATTTTTTTTTCTGTGCCAGGGCTTGAATCAGGGCCTCTCCACATGATAGATAAGCATTCTACCACTAAACTATACTTCTGTCCCCTGTGCTCACAATTTTGTCTTACACTCCCTGGGCAGAAGAGAAGGATCCATTCATCTGCTTGTAATTTTGTATTCCATCTCCTCTAGTACCCCCATGCTATGTGTGAGAATGGCCTTTGTGATAGAGAAGAGTATTCTTCCAGAGCCCTACTCCCAGAATTCCCTCAGTCAACCCCATAGTGAAGGCTGGCATACACCAAGAATTGAACCAAATGACCTGATGCAGAGACTGTAATGCAGTGGATTAACCACTGTCCAAGGGCAAGTGAAGGATCTTCCTCCCCTTCCACTTATAACCCACTGGGATTCCTGTGTTCACCTGCTTTTTGAATATGGCTTTCTGTGTTTCCTGGATGCTTGGAATGGGAGATGCCTTTATGCAGCAGGTGTGATGGGAAACAGTGGGGGTTCTAGTTTCTGCTGGACAATGCATTCTATGAGCAAGCAGTGGCAGATGTTATCTTCCTAGCTTGGTCTAGGAGTCATAGGAATTACTCTCTGTTTGCATTCTGACCTCTTCCCAGGCAGCTTGGGAGAACCCAGAGGAAGGGCAATCTTAGGATTAATGTTTCCTAATAGTCCTCTCTACAACTGCACGTTTTCTTCTCAATTCTGAATCACTTTGGGTCCTTTGAATTTCTAATGGTTTCTGGTTCCCCACAGAGCAAGGTTCCACTGCCCTGTGTGTCAAAGTCCTCAGCAATTTAGTCCAATCTATTTTTTTCAGCCTGCTTTTTTATATGCAAGTTTCATAAATTTGACATGGCAAGCCCAGCACTGGGGGAAAAACTATATAGGCAGGAGAGGTTGACTTGTGGTGGGGAATCCACTCCTCTCTCGCATTTATAAAGTAAAATGTTTTCCCTCATCTTCAGGGTTCATCTAGTTATTTGCCTCATCTCTACCTCTCAACCCTCATTTTTGCTTTCTCAGCCTTCTCTCATGGCCTTTTCTTTTCCCAATATATGCTAATCACCTCCCTTCCACTGAGAATGTCTTTGCCTCCTCCCCTCACCCTTACTACTTCCCTGATCATACTCTTTATTCAGTGGCCACATTAAGTTTAATCTGTTCCTGAGCCTTCCTCTGTCTCCTCAATCAGCCCTTTTTGCTGCCCTAGAGACATCTTTAAGCACACAGTAGGCCCAAGTTTTCTCCCTCACTAACCTGTCTGAACACAGTCACCTTCAAGACTGTATCCATAACTTGCTTCCACCTCCTCATATGCAGATCTCTGGCACTTTCACAGGCATCTTTCCAAATGTCAGGCATTTCTGGGAATCCCTAGGCATGTACTGCATGTGCTTGAGTTGTCCTGTGCCACAGCTCTGATCTGCTCCAGGGGAGAAGGTCAGTGAGTGGTTCAGTCAGGTGGCTGGAGCTCGCTCCACTTCACTTTTTTCCCACTAGCATCAAAGTCATACCATGGCCTACTTCTCTTTTGAACTCTGCTCCACTAGAGCAATTCTAATATAAAGTCTTGCTCCATTTCCAAACTACGTGAACAGCTCGTGCAGGTTGTGTTTATGGCAATGCTTCCTTGCTGGCCTTTCTCTGCAAAGAAGGATATGCTGGGTGAATTGTGAGTTGAGAATAAGCCCCTTCTCAACCTTTATTGGAGAATGCAGTCTGGTCTCTCTTTCCCTGTGACTGTGAGGACAGGGGGGCTAAGCAGGGACCTGTTCTGTCTTCCTGGAGCCCCACCTCAACCTACACAGAGATCTAGGCAGTCAACTTGAGCCTTTTCTTGTGCCTCTGCAGCTTGCACTCTGCTCTGTAAAGCTCTCAGTTACCTTTGTCCTCCTTCTAAGATCCTGGAGGGACATTTTCCATGGGAATTTAGTTTGTGGGTTTTCCTCACAGAGACAGGATATGACGGAGACTTCCTCGTTTTGTTCTATCCATCTTGGGTTTTATAGCAAAGGGCTGAGCCAACAGCATATGTCCTAAGGTGGAAGATAGGTGAATAATTTTGTCACAAATAAGCTGTCTCCCTGAACTTAGCTGCCAGCCCACTTCACAACAATCATCCCCATTGCAGGGAAAGTGAGATCACCAGGACTCATCTGCCACTTGGAATCTTTGCTGCTACCTGAAAGGTATGTGGCTTGTTCTCAACACCTATCTTAACCTCCACCTTTCAGAAATGAAAAGCAGAAAATGATGGTGGAAGGCTCTGGGGAGACCATACCCTGGATGGTGTCATCTTAACAACTGAGCCTGGTGGCCAGATGGGGTGTTTCAAGTGTGGCTGAGGGCAGATACTCATTCAGGCTAGCTCCACTGGGAAGGCGGAATTCGGATGTGTTCCACTTTTCCCTCAGATGAAAAGGATTCATCCTTTGGAGGCTCGCCTTCTGAGGTGATTCATCTCCCTTAGAGACTAAGAAGGTCTCTTATGAGCCTATTGAAACCAAACCATGAGGACAGTTTCCTTATGTGTCACTCATACTTGCTAATATTAGTAATCACAATACTTGTGGTGTAGGTAAGAGTAATAACTGGTGACTGCTGGAGGTCAAAGCACTGCAGCGGGTGCTGGGACAGGGGGAGGATGGGAAGGTAGAAAAACCCCATCTACCTCTTGGGACCTATGATTTAGGACAAAGGATAGAAGAATGCAAAAACACCAATTACACAGTTTGTAAAAATAGCAATGCAAAATATAATAATTTTAAAGAAAGATTCAAAAGACAAGGGACTGGAAGTCAAGAGAACATGGGGTTGTTTTAGGAATTAGAGATGCAACAGGAAAGAATAGGGACAAGACAGGTGGGCAACAGGGAGAGCATGAGGGAAAGGAATGAAGAAAGAGAAAGAGGGACCATGAGAAATGGTCTTTCTGTGGGTGGAGATTGGCAGCATTTCAGTGTGTACAAGTCTTTATTCTGATCTGACTTCAGAAGTGAATGGCTCCAGGGCTCCTAGGACAGCAAGTGTAATGTGGTTCCACCAGCACAGCTTTTAAACTAGAGGGTGAGGTAGGAAATAGCAGACTTCAGGCAGCAAGTCGGGAGGAAGGTGCTATTTAGGATATGAAGCGGCTGTCAGCCCCTCTGGAGCCACTAACTCTTCCCGTCAGGAAATTGCCTGACCATTGACCTTCAATTAAAAGCTTTCCAGGCAATGTCCTTGAGTGTGGAACAAAGAGACTAAGCATGTGTGCCTCCAGTTGGAGAAAGTGCTATTGACAAGGTCTTAGGAACACTATGGTTTAAATTGTTTTGTCTGTGAGATTTTAAAATTTGTTTTCCTGGTGCTTGGTGAGTGGGTTGGTTGGCTGTGTGTCTGGATGACTTGTGACCCAGCCTCTTCTTTAGTGCATCTGTGAGGTTGGTCAGGGTGAGCTGGAGTTGAGGTCAGGTGGTTACTAACAACATCATGGTTATAGAATTGACCAGGGCTGGGTGTACACAGCCCTAACACACACACAGGTGGCACAGGATCTGTATGGAAGAAGCAGAGACAAAGACTCTGAAGCCAACAGCTTAGGTGGGAATCTCATTCTATAACCCACTGGTTGTGTATGCAAGAACAAGTCCCTTAGCTCCCTGTACCTCAGTTTCCTTATCCACAATTCACACTCATTAACAATACTAGTAATAATACTTATGGCATAGTAAGTACTTGGTAGAGAGGAGTGCTAAATTTGTGTTAATATTTATTACTGTGGGCGTGTGTGTGTGTGTGTGTGTGTGTATGTGTGTGTGTTTACAACCTCTTTTCCTCTAGCTTTAGTGATGGAAATCACATATGTGTATAACAACAGAGAAGTAACTGTGAACCTCTAGCAAGTCAACATCCTGGAACACATTGCCCCAATTACTTGCCCTCTGGGAGACAGCAGCCTCCTGGTCTGGGATTAGAGCAAATGCTCAATTTTTGAGGCCACCTGACTCCCCAGCCCTGGGGGGGTCTAATGCCCTATCACTGCCTTGTGGGAGAAGCCATCTTACCACCTATTACAAGCCTTGAACTAATTCCTCAGAATGGGGCCTGTCCAAATGGATCCATAAACTGTCTGAGCCCCTCTTGTTTTGGAAGGCATTAGCTAGATGCTGATATGCTCTTGTGGCTCTGCCCTAGCAGGGATCTCATCTATGTCTAGTGTCTAGAAGAAAACAACAAGGCACAAAATGGAAGAAGAAGAAATAACAAGGAACATCAGAAAATGTGGCTTGGGCTTGGGTTCCTTCACTGTGGGTTAGGCCTGGCACAGACAAACACATTCCTGCTATCAGCCACAAAGGGCCAGAGGTCAGATTGTTCTGCCAGAGCCTTGACCCCTGACCAAGCTGGTTATTTTGTGAATAATGATTCCAATAACTTCCAGCCATCTAAAAAGCCAGTCTCCCTCCAGAGAGGTCTCAGACTTCCCCCATCTGAGAAATCCATCTCAGGCATGTCTGGATCCCAACATGTTCCTCTGCTTTCACCATGACCCACCTCTGAATTTGAGCTCAGTGCTTCCATTACCTCAAATACTCATCTCTCAGACCTCTGACCCCCACACACTATATTCTTGTCAATCTGGGTCCTTCCAGCCCATGGGTCACTCAGAGAGAAATCCATCCTTCGTTTCCCTCTGATAGATGTTCTGTTGCACGACCCAACAGCTCTTATATTTCTTCATTGGCACCTTACCAATGATATTGCTGACAGTGTAACTGGGTCTCTGTGGCTGCAGGACACCAGGGGGTCTGCAGAAGGATAACCACGCAGTAGGGATGATGGCGGCAGAAGGCAAAAGAGGAACTGAAGGGTGCTGGAGGGCAGGAACCCACTGCAGACCTTCTTCCTTGGGGTGTGTGGGAGGTGTTGCTGTGATAGAGTGAAAGGAGAGAGAGGCAGTGCTGGAAGAAGATGAAGAACAGATGTTTGGAAGGTGAAGGAAGAAGGAGGTGCTAAATTTATTTACAGAGTATTTTGCCAACCTTCAGAAGGCTTAACAACCCTCTGCGTTGGCACTGGTTTCTTCCATTGTTCAAGCAAAGAGATTAAGGTTTATCTAGTTAAAAAGTGTGCCTGAAATCCTACAACTAACTGCAGGGGAAATATGAATTCAAAAATGCATTGATCACACCAGAATCGTTGACTGCTAGACTGTGAGATATAACCACAGGACCCAAGGGGGCATTAAAATTATAAGGATGGCATTTGTCATGATTGGGATTGGGTCCCCTTGGCCAGAGGTGGAAGAAGGGATGGTTAGATGGGATGACTCATCACTGGGGCCTCAAAGATGCTGTAAACACAGAACAGTGATCAGCAACTGATGCCTGTAATCACCACCTGAGGTCTCAGGACTGCATGAAAGCGTCCCAGGATGCCATTGAAGTTGGCAGGCAGCCACCAGGCATACACTCCATTTCAGAAAGAACAGAACTCTGTGTTTATTCCTCTGTTTTGTGGACCTGATGTTCCAGGGCAAAGAGAAGGAAAAGCAAGTTTGGGTCATAGTGGTAAGGAAGGGAGAAAAAAATGCATCTGAGATTCTTCAGAGATTTCCCTTTGTTTGGGGAAGGTCACTAAGTCTGGAGGAGGGTGATGCTGAGCCCCCCCACACAATGTATGGCTGTATTCTTGGCTCTAAACAATACACACCTCCGAAGCTGCTTCCTCTGGGACCCTTTAGAAGTCCACTTGCAGCAATGTGAGTTTGAACAAGGTCAATGACAAGTGTCTCGAGGTAAAATTAGAAGCAGTTCTCATGTCCGGTCATGGTTTAAAAGAATCCAGGTACTGGCGCTGGTAAGAAATTCAAAAATCAGGAGGAAATAATTGAGGCAACAATCGATCTCAGGCCTGATGGGCTGAGTCCAGCTGCCTGCACCATGTTAAACCAGCATTGCTTTATCCCTCTCTAGGTGGCTCTCTCTGCTGATGACAGATGGCAGATTTCCCAGTATCCCTGGAATTTTTGAAGCCAGGACTTCTTCCCAGCAGTCTCTTCTTCCTCACCCACCTTCTCCTCTTCCTTCAGCCTGAGGAAGCCATCTCAGGTAGCGTGTCTGATCTGCAGTCATATGCAATTCTGACAACCAGGATGTGAGTGTCTCAACTCTGCCCACATCCTCTGCCAGCTGCTAAAATACATAATGATTTCCATCCCAGTTGTTAAAGAGCCACTGCCCCTGAGCACCATCCAGCACCTTTGTGCTCTTCCACCCTTTTGCTAGTCCTCAGCATCCCTTGTACACTTCTCAGGAGCCTTCCTGGTAGGAACAGCAGAAAGAATGACAAAAGGGTACTAGGAAACTCTTTTTTGATCTGTATTTGTGCTGATGCAATTGGAAAAATATTTTTAATTCAATCTTCATAGCTTTTGAAGAGCAGGAGAGACATCTCCTCAGCATAGGTCTATCACAAAAGAAGCAACCAAAAGAGGCTGTAAATTAATTCTGCAAATGGATTAACTAATGTCTTAGACTGGGAACCAGAGATATCAGGGTGACTGAGGCATAGCCCAGGTCCTTAAGCAGCTCTTTGTCAAAGGAAAGGAATGGATGTGACACGAACAGCTGCAAGAAAACCATATCCAAAGACTTTGAGAGCAGAGCGAAGCATAAATAAGAGCAATTCTCTTTCCCTGGAAAGCCAAGCACAGGAATAGAGAAGGGGTGCTGTTTGTGCTGAATGTGCAACCTTGTGAAATGCACATTCTCCAGGAAGTTGCCAGATAGAGGGAAAACTGAGGCAGGGTGTAGCCAGGGAGTCAGAAATCAGGTGTGTGGGAGAGACAGCTGAGGGTACCCTGGAAAAGGAAGAGGGTAGGAAGTTGTTGGGGATACAACCAGTGGAAAACCATGTGTCCCAAATGGCACAAAGAAAGATACCTATGATCTATGGGCAATGTGAAAGATGACAAAGAATCTACCAGGGTTGAGTTCTAGGAACAGGTTTTGGCTGAACTTAGAAAGAAGGAAACAGGACTAAAAGCAAAAAGGACTGGTTTGGGGAGAGCAGAGAGACCACATGGAGACACCGTGGAAGAAGGGAATGATTAAATGAAAGATCAATGTAAGTCTCAGCAGCAGAAGGATCAGGAAACCCTTAAAGATTATTTACATATTTTTATTTTTATGGAAACTGTACATGTGTATTATTTTTTGAAAAAATAATTGGTAAATCTGACAAACAAAAATAGGAAATATCTACTCCCATGTGTTGGTGTCCCTCTTTCCATGTCTTTTTCTCTGCACACTTTGGCAAATATGCAAATTTTTACTCAAGGTCCTGTGTGCATAGTGTTTTTGATAATTGCTTTTTTTGGACAAATACTGCATTTCATTTCTGTCACAGCCACATTCACTCAGTCCCCCAAAGAACATTTGCACCCGATTGGGTCAAACCAATGACCAACCCAGCACTATACATTGTGTCTGATTGTAATGTTCTACGTTTTAACCTGTACTCACACTTTTGTCACGGCAGTTACTTCTTCAAGAAACCAGGTTGATTGTCTTCATAGACGCTTTCCTTTTGTCATTTGAATATTTTACTGTGGATGTCTGACTTGGAAAGATAAATATATATTTGAAGAGAGTTGATTTTGCCCCTTGTTCTGGCTTGTCTTCCTAGAGGAGGTAAAAGTAATAGGCCCTGGGGAGTCCACTTTGGCCCTCGTCGGAGAAGAAGTGGAGTTCCCGTGCCACCTATCACCATACCAGGATGCTGAAAACATGGAGATCCGCTGGTTCCGCAGCCATGCCTCGGACGTGGTGCATCTCTACCAGGAGCGGCAGGAGCTCTTCGCCCAGCAGGTGGCGCGGTTCCAGAACAGGACCAAACTCATCACGGACGAGATAGCAGATGGCAGCGTGAGCTTGCACCTCCGCCGCGTGGTTCCCTCCGACGAGGGCCCCTACGGGTGCCGCTTTCTGTCTGGCGACTTCTCGGGTGAAGCCATCTGGGAGCTGGAGGTAGCAGGTGCGTGCCCTGGCCAAGCACCAGCAGAGGACAAGGAAAAAAGGGTTAGTTTGGACAGAGATGCTTTGCTCAAGTAGGACTAGAATCATGGAGAATATCCCTAATTTGAAGAAAGAAAAAAAAGCACTATTAAAAAGGGAGCGATAGGTCCATTTTCAAATGAAAAAAAAGAAACAAATACTTCACAAAAATACACAAGGACCCTTTATGAAAAGATGACCATTTTTACCCATAGTGACAGAAAAACAAACTAAAGCTACGTAAAGATGCATAATTTTTGCCTAAAACTGGCAAAAAGGCAACAACAACAAAAAAAAGGCTGGAGACACGGAGTGGCAAGTCTGCTACTACCTTGTTGGTAAAGCTCAAAGTCCAGGACAGGGATATTTGGCGATAGCTAACAGGATTGCCTGTGCGTCTATTCCTGGACACAGCAATTCCCCCTCCAGGAATTCACCCTGAACAGATACCTCCAATATAAGAAAGGCTTTTGTGTAAATTTAATCTTTGTAGCATTATTTGTAATTGCAAATACCCACACATAGGACCTGAGTGTGGTTCATACACACGTGGAGCAATCCACACTCTGCAGCTAGAAAAATGAGAGGGAACCCAATGAGCAAATGTGAAATGATTCTTAAGATGCATTACTAAGATTTTAAAAAAATCAAGATAAGAAAGAGGTTTGGTGGTATGTTTTTGTGTATAAGAAAGAAGGAACATTGTAAAAAGAGGATAAACCAGAAACTAATGAAACTGGCTGCCTAAGGTGTGTGAATGAAAAGGATGAAGAAAGGCTCAAAATTTTCTTAATATGCATTATGTAGAGAATTGACAGTTAAACCATGTTAATAATCTTTTGCGAATTCAAAATATATAGCTTGGAGTGTAGCTCAGTGATAGACTACTTGCCTAGCATTCACGAGGCCATAGGTTCAATCCCCAGTGCTGCAAAATATAAATAGATAGATAGATGATAGATAGATAGATAGATAGATAGATAGATAGATAGATAGAATGGGGAGACAAAGGAGTATATATACCAGGCATTTGAACTCTACTGAGAATCAAGAGAAGACAATTTAATGGAATCTGAGGTGGGTAATTCTTCATTCTAGGGAGCTACCCCTTGTATATTTCCCTTGCATAATATGTATAGCCCCTCTCCATGTTTCCAAACAACCCTCAGGGATAGTACTGCCCCTGAATACCAGTGCTAATCTAAGTTGTTATTTACTATCCATGGTTGGGGACTTCTAACCCACACACATGAAGAGCAGTCACAGTTCCCAATACAGTGACCTCAAATGGCTCAGATGGTGAATGGTGCCATGGATTTCTGGCATACCTTCAGGGAAGTAGCCTGATCTTTCTCACTCCTCCTGCCTCTCCCAGGATTTGGCTCAGACCCTTACATCTCCCTTGAGGGCTTCAAGGAAGGAGGCATTCAGCTGAGATGCAGCTCTAGTGGCTGGTACCCCAAGCCTACCGTCCAGTGGAGAGACCACCAGGGTCAGTGCCTGCCTCCAGAATCTGAAGCAATCATCCAGAATGCCCAAGGCCTGTTCAGTCTTGAAACATCTGTGGTTGTCCGAAAGGGAGCCCATAGCAATGTGTCCTGTTCCATCCAGAACTCCTTGCTGGTCCAGAAGAAAGAGTTTGTGGTGCAGATAGCAGGTCAGTAGGCTCTGGTTCACCATTATTATCCTAGTTTTCACATTCTCCTTGTCCCATTTGGCCCAAAGGTGGTCGGTAAGGACACAATAATTCTGAGTCCCAACCTGGTGGGGCAAGTTGGGCTTGACATCTGAAAAGTCATCAAATCAGATATCAGGCACTCACTAAGAATGCAGCTGACTACCCAAACAATAGATGGGCAAGACCCTAGGGAGACAAAAATACCATGCCAAAGGCCATACACTAAAACCCATAAACTCTACTCATTAGAGATCGTCATGAGAACCTATGTGTCCCTAATTTCATCCCTCAAACAAATACAAATAGAGCACTCACAATGTACCCCAAAACTCTACCCTCAGCTTCTCCTCAGAGTGGGCAAAATAGACAACAATACAATGAGTAAACCACATCATACCCTGGAAGGCAGAAGTAGCTGAAGAGAAAAACAAAGCAGAGAAGGGTGCCTGAGAGCAACAGGATATGTCTATGAATTATAAAAGGGTTACTGGGGGAAGTAGCTGTTTAGGCAAAGTTGAAGTTTAGGCTATTATTTAGCATCAAAATCTTATTAGGAGGCACCCAATGGACAGCCTTAATGTTCATAGCTCTAAGTTGTTTTAAGAGTTGAATAAAATTCAACCTATGGGCCATTTCACATCAGTCTAAATCAATTATTGCATTATTAGACCAGAAAGAAATCTCTCCCTTTGGGTCAGGCATATCGAACCCACTGAGCATACATGGTCTCAAGATAAACAATAATTTGTCCTCATATTGGAGGACCTGGCAGCATCATTCATCACACACAGTTCATTCTATGGCCATCTGTGCTAGCTGTCTTTATCCAAAGGCAAAATTAAACATCTCATATCTCTATGTCAAACATATAGTAACAACTTGAAGCCAGGCAGAGATGAGTGTTTTGTTCTTAATGTTTGTATGTCAAAGAGATATCCTCTAAAAAAAACTGGGTTGCAAAACTGGCAAGAGGCTTGTTTAGGTGTCAAAATAATTTACCTATAGTCAAAGGAATAGAGAAAGAATTTATAAGTTCCCTAAAGGAAATGCTCTGAGAAAGGAGAAGGAAGGAATATCTCTTTTTGTATAAGGAAAATCCAGTTTTGTTTTTCTTTTTAGATTTGTGCATAAATCTAAATTTGTAGCCAGAGTTCTATGCCAAAGGCCTAACTCCCATATGCCAAAATGTCAGGTCTGGCCACTCACCCCAATACACCAAATAAAGAGAAGAATAGCGGTGAAGGACAGAGAAAGCAAACTTATCAGGAGGCACAGGCACGCCATGAGACGAGGCAGAGCAAGCCTCATCTTTGGGCTTAACTAGGGGTAGAAGCTGGGCAGAGGGCAAGAGGTATACATAATTAAGTGGTCCCAGGCAAAGTGTGGCCTGGCAGATCATTATCTCAGTTCTGGTTCTTCCAGAGATTCCTTGTCAGTGCTGTCATCACTTGTGGGGAGCAATCTGGTTCCTGATGATCACTCCTGCTCCAGAGTGAAGCCTCACCTTTGTAGTTAATTGCCCTCACTTAGGGGTGGTCTGTCCTTCAGGATCTGCATAATTTCAGTCCCTTCTCATAAAGATGTTGTCAATCAGTCTTGTCCTTCCTGGAACTCACAGTGATTGCACGAAAAGGACTCAGAACAAAAAGAGACAAAATGAAAGCAGGGGTGCCAGGCTTTCCTCTTGCTTTTAGTCAACTTTTGGGCCAAAGTGAGGAGTCAGGGCTTTGGAGTCAGGGCTTTTTAGCAAAAGCAGTTTCTGAGAACCTGTTATCATTGTTGTAAATTTATATTGCTTATTATTTATTAAGTTTGCATATAATTTTATATGTGTATGTTTTTGTATGTATATACTCCTTTATAGAGGCTGTGAATCAGTAGAGGGAAAGAGCACAGAGGCCTGAGGGGCTGGAACAGAGGGCCAAGGTTGAGGGCAACAGGTCAAGGAGGCATCAAACTCTGAAGTCCTTGCTTTTAACCCCCGAGTTTGTGCTGTGAAAACCATCTGTGGTGAAGGACAAATCCATTGTGGTTTAATGTCTTTGTAAGGTACAATGAAAATGCAGCTCTAGAAAAACAAAACTAAAAAAAAAAGAAGTAGACCACATATGCTAAGTGAAATAAGCCAAACACAAAAGGACAAAATACTGTATGGCTTCACTTACATGAAGTGCCTACAATAGTCAAATTTTTACAGACACAAGAAGTGGAATAGTGGTGTTAGGCTGTGAGGAGAGAAGAATCAGTGTTCAGTGGATAAAGGGTTTCAGTTTGGGATGAAGAAAAATTTCTGGAGATGGATGCTGATGACATCCATCAGCAATGTGGATGTTCTTAATACCCCTCAGCTGAACACTAGAAAAATGGTTAAGATGAAAGCTGAGAGTGTAGCTTAGGGGTACTGCACTGGCTTCAAATGCACAAGGTGCTGAGTTTGATTCCCAACACTTGAAACAAAGGGGTGGGAGACAGGTAAGGTGATAGGCTTGTTTTGTATAGTTTACCACCATGTTTTAAAAGATAAAAATATTCTTTAAAGAGAGACTTTGGAGAGAAAAGTACCATTTAAAAATGGAATTATTAAATTGCCACAAGAGTTTCTAAAGGGTTACTGTCAGTTTTTGCTCTCCTCTCTTCATCTTCTGGCCACTGTCCACCTTAGCATTGGCCTTGGCCATATCCTGCCTGGAGCAGATGCCCCCCCTAGGGATTTGGGGAGCAATCTTTAGCATGCTACTGCTTTGTTAGCAATTCTTCCAAAGGTGTGTGGAGAACGACGTAGAAACCAATTGCAAGAAGCAAAGAGACAACTTGTGGATTCCACAGCAGGGTAGAACAATTACTGGGCTTCAGACATAAGCAAAACACTGTGGACTCTCCATTCCTTCAGACATACAGCAGGAGCAGGAAGAAAGGAAGGAGGTCAGTTCTAAGCAGGAGCAGGGGTGAGAGCAGCACTAGCACCTCCATTCACTTCCTGCAGTTTACATCACTTTCTCCTTCCTCTGAGCAAGTTCAAGTTCACCACCATTCCACCTGATCCCACCAGAAAGAAAGCCATGCACTGCTCTCACACTCAATTTACAATGACTCTAGGGGGCCCAGAAGGTTTAGTCAGCCAAACAAAGGACACTTGAAAGATTTTCCAGCACAGGGGGTCCAAGACAGTCTTGTTTCAGTGGTTAGTGGCACCTAAATGGAGACAACTCTCTGGGGGTATTTTCCAGACATATTTTTACCGGGACCTTCCCCCTGGAAGAAACCTTTCCTTGGGACCCTGGTGGCACTGCCACTCCTCCTGGCCCTCCTTTCATCGCTGGCACTGTACTACATTCGCAAGCAGCGGCAGTCCCAAGGTATGCATGCCCCTCAAGACTGGTTTTGCTCAGAGGAACATGGTGGAGGGGACATTGAGGGACACCCTGGCAAGTACTGGACCCCAGAGTGGCTTATGGAAGCACTCTCCTGCCCTAGTTGGAATGGGACCAAGAAATGGGCACGGGAGGACATATAATCAATCTTCTCCTCTTTTTTCTTCCTTTCAGCAAAGCTAAAGAAGCAGGCAGAGAAGGACCAAGGTAAGTTGGGGTGGAGGAGCACTCTAAGAACACATCCCTGAGCAGCGCGAAGGAGGCTCTGGGTCACCAAAAAGAACCATTGAGCACGAGGAAGGATTTAGGAGCAGGGCAAAGAGAGAGAATGGGACAGAAGTTTGCTCTTCCCCTTCCCTTCCTCCACTGGATTGTGTCCAGCCCAAACATGGCACAGTGAGACTTCAGTGACCATGGATCTGTCCTACCTGAGATTCCTCTTTTCCTTTCCTTTCCAGGAAAACTGACTGCACAGCTTGGTAAGTTTGGGGTTTCCCCACCCACAGTGTAGGCTGCTAACCACTGGGAGGGAAGGAGACCTTCTGTGGTTTTAGGCTTCTTTTGGGGAGAAATGGATTGTACCCATTTAATTCTAAACCAAGCCTTATAGGCTTCTCCTCTCCAAAGGGGCTGAAAGGACAATGGGTGCATACCCTTGTGGGTACACAGCTGCCAAAATCTGACTGGAGAACTTTTACACAGACTCTGCCAGCCCCTTTCCTGCAAACTACATGATTCAGTTAAAATTCTACCATTAAACGTTTGCTCCCTCTGGTTCATCTTCCTAGGATACACACCCTTTTCTTTTTAGTGCAAATGCCACTGGGAAGGGGGGCAGTCTTTTATTTGCACTAAGGTTTGAATACTTTATCAATTCACTTTTCCCCCCAGAGGAGCATATCAACTTGAAATTATGGGGCGGGGGGGCGTTTACAAAAGATGATGAGCAAACCCAGAAGAAGGGGAGATGGATAAGGCCCCATGGGTAGAAAGAAGACCTCAAGGACCAAAATGTGGCTGTCCTAGAAAAACTCCAGACAAAACTGAAAGGGTTTCAATCTATCTAGCCCTGCAGGGGAAAACAAACAAAACTACTCTAATACCATGACTGTATTTAGTGTATAGTGTTAACTTTCCCAGGAACATTTGTTTTTACAGAGAAGAAAAAGTGGAGAGATGGAAAGAATGCATTCTAGTGACAAAAACCTCAGAGTCTTTGACATCATGCCAGGGGACAACTGAGTGTGATGTTCTTCCAGCACTTGAAGTACTCGGTACATGACCCTGAGAGTTACACAGGCTGTACTTATTTTCCTGGACTTAATCAGGAGCTCCTCCCCAGGAAAAGGTTGTGATTTCAGGGTGAAGCAGTAGCTTCTTCAAACCAGATCTGAGCATTGGGAAAAAACTCTTAGTAGCAAACCAGCTTGGTGCAGCTTTCTACCTCTGAATGACTAGGATGGGGCATCAGAATCCCGCATGTGGAATCCTGGCAAGTTGGAAACAAGGATGGGGTTTTGGTTAGCAGTGGTTTAAGACTAAGGAACCTCTTCAGTGACTTAGTAACCTAGGAAGAAGTTTGGAAGATGATTCCACTCATTGATGGTTTCTCTGTTTTGCTTATAGAGAAGCTTCAGACAGAGCTTGGTAAGTGACCCTCTTAGAACTATTCCATCCTGGTTATCTCATGTCCCAACCAGGTATGAAGCCCAGGGTGGAGCACTGCTGGTTCCTTGGGTGGCTGGAGAAGGGTGGAAACAGCAGGGGTGGTGTAAAATGCGATGTGTGAACAGGGAAGCTGCAGTGTCCTGATGTTCTTATTCTGTTTTTCCTTTGCTATTTCAGACTGGAGAAGGAGTGAAGGCCAGGCTGGTGAGTGAAGCCTATTTCTCTCCCACTCGTTCTCATTATTCTTCCTGACTGACCCATGATGGAGTTACATACCAGGAAGCCCATTATAAGTTGAAAATGTCCTGGTTGGAAATGCTTTTAATGAACCCAACTCTGGCAAACATAGCTCAGCAACACAGCACACTGTAGATTTCTGGTCAGTTAACCATGTTATCTTGTATGGTTGCCCAACATCTCCAAAGAATATCATACCATGTATCACTAGCCTGAAAAACAATTCACATTCAAAACCTGAAGTAGAGTTTCTATTGAACGCACATGTCTTTCACACCATTGTAATGTCAAAAAAGCCGAATCACTAGGTCAAGCCACCATACACAAGGGACCATAGGAACATCTGCAGCATGTTGGTACTCACCCTGATTAACCTGCCACTCATCTGCCTCCATTCCAAGCCTGACTGCACATATTACTCTACATCACTTAATAGGGGCTAGACTCCAGTTTTACCTTTATGTTTATTTTTATATTGTTCTGAAGCCTAAAAATGCTGGAAACCATTGGTTCTTATCCTGGTTGCTGTCACAATCACCTGGTGTCTATACTCAAAGACTGCCTGTGGGTCTGGAGAGGCACATTATAATATATGTAAATATTTTCTCCATAATTCCCAGTATTCCCCAATAAACAAACAGTCTATTGTACATCTTTAGTATATATTCTTAAAAATGTGAATTCCTATTTTGCGTATACATTTTAGTCATGTAATGACATGCACAGTCTCATGTTGCTTCTTGCTTTTTCCATGCATCTCATTTGAATATCTGTCCCATGTGAGCATCTGGTCTGTTTCTCTTTGCTGCAGAGCACTCCACTTTAGCCAGCTGCTCTCCTGGAGTAGACAACCAGGCTGCCTCTGACTCCCCACCACCTCAGACAGCATTGAATCCATAGCTTCAAATGCGTCCCTATCACCCTACATGGAGATGTTTCTGGGATGCATACACAGGAGGGGAATTGCTGGCCCATGGGGATTTGTCCACTAGTGGGACAGAGGGCTTTCAGAGTACCACCATCCTGCCATCGGCACTACATGGAGGTTCTGTGTGCACGCATCCAACGTGAGCTAGCTTTCTAAATTTACACCAATAGGATAAATGATTGCTCAATGAGTACTAAAAGTTTGAGCACCCTCTATATTTAGTTGGTTTTTGCAGGCTTCTTCTTCTGAAAACCTCCAGTTCACAACTTTT